TTCAGTGCTTAAGTATGTGTCAGGTACTTTCTGAGCACTTCATGTGTTTAATTCATTCAATCATTTTATCTTGATAAAGTATAGATACTATTATTTCCCCTGGTTTACATTGAAACAATTGAGGCACAGTGAAATTCAGTTACTTGCCCAAGGACACATAGCTACTAAGTGGAAGAGCTAGGAAATTTGGATGTGCACTTACATTGCTCTTTATTGTCTCTCTGTATTATATAAATCTTTACCTATATGATTATTAGAGCAGCATCCTAGAAGTGAATTACTAATCTGATATGTAACTGACTTAAATCGCCCCCCTGCCAAAAAAAAAATCTCTTAGGTACGAAGTATCTGTGCGTTGAAGAAAATGATACCATTTTGAAATAATGCTACTACTTTTGTATTTTACAGATAAGCCACACAATCCAATGGTAAATGCCGGAGCAATTGTTGTGACTTCATTAATAAAGGTAAGATGTTGACATTTCCTTTTAACCTAACAAAATTTTTTTAATAACTAAGGCATAAAGATGAGTTTGAGTTATTTATTTAGAACTGTGAAAAGTTTTCTTCTGGTCTTAAAAAAAATAATTGTACTGTATAAGGTTAGGATTTTTATTTATTTCAACATTAAATGATGTAATAATTTTAAGGGCAAAATTTAAAACAGATGACTATAAATTCCAGCAGTTAGTTACTCTTAACTTGAAGATCTGGTAAAAATGAAAAAAAAGTCTGCTGAAGAGTAAGCATAGGAGTTTTTCTTAAAAAGTTTTGAAATTTTTTTCTTTCTCTTCCTTTTGGCTCTTCTAGAATGAACAAGATATAAACAAAATTAAATGCATTTACTGTATAATTTTTGTCATCACCATATGTAAAAACAAATGGTCTGGTACTTTGTTTAAAACAAAGTATATTTACCCTCGAATACTCTGAAGTCTTTTATACTCTCGTGAGCTGGAATCACAATTTTCATTTGAACTTGTTTCATTTATTTTACTTAAATCATGCTATAACTAAAACAAGGCTTATTCCAGTTATTAAGTTATATTATCCTGATTATGCTTTCTAGTTTCTATTGTATTTAATGTTTTGTTTGCCTTATAATTGGACGTTTTAATGTTTTGAAATAAGCATTTGAAAATGGTTCTATTGTGAGATACTTAAGTTTTTAATTTCTAACTATAAATTTCATTTGTATTAAAATAAGTTTAATTTGTATTGAAACATTTATATGGTTTGTTCAGTAAATCTGTGTCTATTCCAAGTTAATAGACTTGGAATAAAACATAATGACATGGCTTTATAGATACGTTACTGAGGATGGGGTACTTGCTACACAAAGGGTATAAGTTACACCCTTGGCCCAGTTCACAAAAATTCATCTCATATGTGTACTAGAAATCCTCTCTTAACTTTCATGAGTTTTAGATATTCATGAGACAAACCTTTAAGATGGAAGACTATTAAAATATACATACATATACACACTTACACATGCACACACGCACACACACACACATATTTAGTTGTTATTTTGGGGCAAATGCTGCATAATCATTAGCCCATTTAATCCTTACAACTCCAATGAGATACATATAGCCAAGTGTTATTTTTTTAATGTAACTAATTTTAATAGGCTGTGGAAATTTTCATTTTGTCCGTTAGAACATCTAGTTATTTAAGGCTATTTTACATAAGAGAAAAGTCTGCTTGAGGTGAAAGAAATCTTTGTTTATTGTAGAAAATTATGAATATGTGCTAGGTGCCATCCTGCCTCCAGGTAGCATACATTGTAGTGTGGGGTATGCATGAGTAAATAGGCCTTTACCATGAGATTAGAAAATGTTCAATGAGAGAAAAGTCTCATTAATAGTTGTTCAGATTGGAACAGTAACTTAAATTAGAGGTATGGAAAATTATGATGATACAATGTATGTGTTAATGCTTGGTGGCCACTAGAATGGTTCTAAGGCTTTTTGGGTCTTCCCACAAAAATGTTCACGTATAGTGATTTTACATACAACTTTAGGGGGTTCTCACAGGCCCTTTGAAGCTGATCCATGGACCCCAGTTTAAGAACTTTTACACTGGAGAAAGATTAACATGGAACACCAGTGGTATTCTCAAGAAAGGGCATATGTGTAAATGATTAATTGAGGACTTCCTTAACTGCGTGCAGTTAAAAATCTTCCTTTGTTTAATGATTCACAGGTGTAATACACTCCCCTGAAATGCTGCATGTAGGAATTGCATGTATGGTCATATCATCATACCGTCCCTTCATTAGTTCCGTTTACTATAGTCACAAGCCATAAACTATACAATTGAATCACATTAATGTGGGCACTTAAAAACATAGTTAAAAAAAAAATATACAACATAAGTGTGGTTTAATGTGAAACAGTCAGAAATTTAACTGAGTCATCTTATATTTACAAATTTGATTAGTGATTTTAAATTTATAAAAATTTTAAGGAGCTCTGGTCACACAGTGGTTAAGTGCTCAGCTGCTAACCAAAAGGTTGGCGGTTCAGACTGACAAAGTTGAAAATAAGACTTTGGGGTATATCATTCATATTTGAGGTAACTTTTCTTTGAGTTTTTGTTTTTCAAATGTGTCTCACAAGTGCTTTTTTTTTTTTTATATGAAGTTCATACAAATCTTATATGGGGAAGTTTGATATAAATCTTTGTAAAACTGACTGCCCCAAAATGTAATACTTAAGATTTTTTTAAGAAAGAATTAAAAACTTACAAATATCTGTATGTGATCTCTGCAAGTTCTGTGATCACATAATATTTATGAATTAGTAATGGTTTTGAAATTGAGGTAATAAAACTATAGCTGGAAGGGCCTTCAGAAGTTGTCAAGCCCAGCTCTCTTACTTTATGTAGTTCAGGAAACTGAGACCAAATAGCTTGTGACAACAGTAGAATTGGCCTAAACTAAATCTCCTGATTTAGATTTGTTTTTCTGTTTGCTGTGTATTAGACTTCACGCTTCCATATTTAATACAGGTGTATGCTGTTTCTTTTGATGACATCTTTGACTTTACCTAATATAGTTATGTTGTCTGAAAAGCAGAAATGTTATTTTCTTAATTTTAACTTGTATGAAAGATACCAGTTTGTTGGTTTAAAAAGTTACATCTGTTTTTCAGTGGGTCTGTAGAGTTATTCTTTGTATATCAGTCAGTGCCTACTATCTCTAAGGAACCAGGTCCCTCCCAATGGGCTTACAGTTGAGTACCAAAGCATGGCTATTTTACCATGGCTACTAGATGTGAGTTCTGTTTTTTAGCTCTTCTTTTAGTTGATGACCTTAAGCCTATTAGTGTTTCTTTTCTTCCAAAATTCAGGGCTTTATTATGATGCCATTAACACATTTTCCTCACATTACTTCAAGCCCCTGGGGGAAAAAAAATTAACCAGAGTCTTTAGTAAGACTCTTTATTTCATAATTTTGTAGTATTGATATTTTTTCCTTGTAGGATTGGTGGTGATCCTCAGGAAATGGGGGAAGAGGCAAAGCAAATGTTCAAAAGGATTAGCAGATTGTGGAAAAAAGGAGGATTTTGGACAGAAGGAACCTGTTGCATAAATTCTTAACTACTAAACTTATAGAAAAACTTCAGTATTTAAAATTTTAACCAAAGCTATATAGGTAAATACCTTTTAAAAACAAATGTCATTTTATACTTAAAATGCACATATTTTTTGAAAAAAACATAAGGACTATACTTGCTTTCTTTTTCTGTCTGGTAGCTACTAACTTTAAAGGAATATTTTTTGATGCAGTCTGTTTGATGATGATAATATGTGGTTGCCTGATTTAAAGAATAAAAATAAATTTGAAAGGAGCACAGTTATTTCTGAATAAAATAGCGCTATCCTTATGTACTTTTTTTTCTCTTCAGTGATAAAAATTTCACCTAGTATCAATTTAAAAGTTAAGGTCTGCGGATGACTTCAGGGGTAGGGTGGAAAAATGAGGGCGACGAATTGCAAAATAATTGCCACTAGTCTACTTTTTTATTTTAGAGGTCAAGAGTAAGCTATACTGTCTTCTATGTTTATGTCTCTTTTTATTCTAGTTGTAGTTTTCAGTTTTTATCTTTTGAAGAAGCTTAATCTTTTTTATCAAAAGTATTTTTAGTATTTTGGAGTTTAAAAGTGACTTTTTTTTTTTTTGGCAATTTAATGATGGCTCCATGAAAATCAAGACAAGTTTAAGTGTATAATGCTCAATTTGGTCATATTAACAATAACCTGTTAGACTTGCTTATAAGCCACATACCTAAGGTAGTTTTTGGCTGTGGAGAGCAGTGGATGATGCCTTAGATGTCTTTGCATTCAGAAGAGAGGACTGACTGTATTGATGTATTTACTTTCATATTTATACCAGTTGGTATATTTGAGGGTTTTGTTTTAATTTTATAAAGGCAGATAATTTATTGCCAAAAGAATTCCTTTTTTTGTTGCTTTTTAATTAGGGTTAATTTGTGAAAATACTAGATCTTGATCATTGTTTTTTATGTGTAATATCTCTTTTAATTCTCCTGGTAATATTTAACTTTAAGGCATTTCTGGGGAAAGTTAGAGTATTTGATAAAAAAGATCATTTTCACTTACTTTTTCACCTCTTCTATTATCTAATTTTTACTTGGCTTTTGTACCTCTGTATTTTATTAATGGAATCAAATTTTGTATTTACAGAATAACTGATAAATGTATTGACTTTAAATGAGCCATATTAATATTAAATTTATTGGTAGATCTCTGTGTTAACAGTAGCATTTTAATCTGTGTTATGATGTATAATACATGAATCAATTCATGAATACACTGTAAAAACCAACCATGAAAACACTCTACCATAGTTTTTAATAGCCAGTGTTAAAACTCAGTGCCTCTATATAAAAATTTCATTTATAAAGTTTTCTTCAAAAGAATGTAAATTCTGTAGCATGATAGAAATGTTTATAGGAAAATATTTATTTCTAGTAGTGGGGTTTGATTACCCTTTTCAGACAAATCGTTTGCTTTTAAAAGTCATTTTAATGGTTGGATTAGAAATGTTGGTAAATATTTTTTTCCAGTTTAGTCTCTTTTAAAAGTTTTCCTACTATATTCACTACAAATTACTGTTAACTTATTCAAAATTAAAATAATACAGTGTCTAATAAGCTTATGCAAAGATCTTCAACTTGGGGACATGAAGTTTTTCCAAGGGGTAAAAGGGAATTTATAGTTTTAAGACAATCAGTTTCCGGATTTCAGTTTCTTCTACCTGCTCTTTCTTATGATTGATCTTCATTTGGTTCAGGTATCCTTCCATTTTCTAAAAGAAGAGCATTCTTCTTACGCGTCCTGAATGTTTCTGTGGTGCACTGCCTCAGGTTGTAAAAACCTCTTGGGCACCAACAAAAGAGAGCATTTTGAAATACTGGAGTCAGAACATTTTGAAATATTGGAGTCAGTATTGAGGATGTGAATGTAATGACTGGGTAACAAATCCTTTTGTATACCAGGTTATTTCTAGTTCTTTGGTTTCAACAAAATTGAAAGAGAATTAATTGTCAGTTAATAAGAACAGTAAGTATGATTTCTGAGGGCCAGTCAACTCTGACTTTTGGCATATAATGAGGTATAGAACTGAGTGACATTTAAAGAACTGAGTGACAATGCTGTAATAAAACTTTTTCTATTCCCATCTACTTATAGATTGTCAGCAAGGTTTCTCAGCTCATACACTGTAAAAACTAAAAGTAGGAAGAGAAACACTATCTCATTCTAGCAATATAAACTATCCACTGATTAACATGAGCTAAGTAAAAATCAATTACTGTTTGAAAGGGGAAAGAAAATACTGTAAAGGAACAGTTCCCTAAATGAGTGTGGTAAGTTATTAGCAAATAAATATTTTTCCTTTAACTTTTTATTGATGAAAATTTTCAAACATATACAAAATAAATAGTATAACCAGCCTCTGTGTACCCATTGCCAGCTTCAATTTTTTTAAACATCTATCCCTCCACCCCGCTGCATCCTCCTACTCACTTAATGATGATAATGGTTTTACAGTTTTTGTTTTTTTGGGGAGGAGGAGAATTTAACTCTGTTTTGTACATGTGTATGTGTGTGTTTTCCAACAGCTTTGCAAATAAACTTTTTACTGTAACTTTTTCAAGTTAAAATTATATGATATTTAATAATGGTTATCAGATCCCGTGTATCCTTGAAGTACATGAAATCATTACAAGGAGTACAGGGGCAAATATACTTCGTTAATTTAAATGCCACTTCTAGGATAGATAATAAGAATGAACGTTAATCAAATGCCATCACATTTAAACAGGGTAATTTTAGGGAGAGACTTTTCTTGAGTTAACACACAATAATTCAAGTATTTTATTTTGCTCCCTTTACATTATCTGCCCAGGGCATTTTAAGTAGTTTACCCAAAATGATGTGTAATGACAAACATTGGTAAACACCAGTTGTTTTTCTTAAAAACAAAATAGAAACAAAACTCAATTATGCTTTAATTTAGTAGGCAAAAAAATAGACCAACTATGTGACCATACCCTAGAATTGAAACAGTTTTTATTTTTGTTTTTCATATTAAACGTGACAGCTAAATAAAGTTAGTATTAGTTTTACAGGCACAGTTTAGGTCAGTAAATGAAAGTTTTAATATAGCTTTTGGTTATTTTACGTTGATTAACTGTATAACCAGCAGTTATCCATGTGACATCCCAATGCAAATGCCGACATCCTTTTCCAAAAGAGTTGTTTTTTGTTTTGTTTTGTTTTTTGTGCTTTTCCAAAGATTAAAAAGGTTTTTATGGTTTAAATGTTGTTACATATTTTACAGCATTAGGATCTATGGAATATTTTGACAACTGCAACAGTTCAATGAAGTTGGTAATTTCTTCTTTTAATTATTTTTCATTGAACACCTTTGGCGTTACATTTCTACGTTTTTTATTTCTGGTGTATTAGAAGGAAAGAAAACTTAAAACATGTCAAAGGATGCTTTAGGGAAAATATATAGATTGTGATTACCATATGGCTAAAGCTAAATTAACCTTATATTATTTAAGCTTTGTTAATGCCTGATTTTGATGACATAGTGTGGTGTTTCTTTCAGTTACTGATTGACTGATTTCAGTGACTACACATCCTTTCTCCAATAAATTGATTTGTAGGTTTTCACAGATTATCAGCCACAATTTATCTCCTTGTAAAGTGGAGAATGAACCTGGCTTTATACAATTAAATGATAGTCTAGTACAGGTTCCCCTCCCCTACCCCCATAATAAAAATCTAAAGTGTACTACTGTTTTGGATCTTTTGAGGGTAAAGTCTAAAAAAATACATTTTTTAAAACTTTGTTTGCCAAATTATTTTATTTTAAACCTGCTTATAAATTAGAGATGTATTGTTTCTATTGGGTGCATATCACCAATTAATACGTTTGATTTCAGATCTACAACTTACTGCTTTGTAAACTTCGCGGAGGTAAAATGAACTGATCTGCGTTATATAGGTTGTTCCTATTGACATTTGCAGTAGCTAACATGTCAGAAATAGAGGTGCTGAAACAATACATCTTCCATGATCTGAATTGGCATAATGCTAAGTATAATTGTAGTTAATTTTTTAGATACTGTAAAATATAAATTTTAATTTTTTAGTTCAAGTGTTATTGTAACCAGTGAGAGATTTTAAGGGTAGCTCTTTTTCTGCACTAGTTAAATATACCCATAATGTTCGTATATATTAGAATTAAAAAAGATTAGCTAGTTTTACAACATAAGTCATTCTTCTAACACTAATATTGGTATAACTTTATACGTAGATTGTTCTTAATTTAAAATTATAATGTATGTATACTTAATTGTTTTCTAAGGGTGAAACTTTATTTTAAGTTTTCTAAATGTGCAACTAAATAAATAGTGTACAGTCAAGTAAATTATGTGCTGTCATGAAAGACAAGGGGTTGGGGTAACTTGTATTGTAAATTCTGTAAGTTCAGGTTGGGTATTTTAAATTCTGTAAATTCAGGTTGGGTAAAGATGTACTTAAAATAAAGCATTCCCTTTGTAAGTCAGACCTATTCTCAACATATTGGTGTTAATGACAGAACACTTGAAAGAATTTATGTAAATACTAAATTGCTTTAGAAGTATTTCCTAGATTTAAAAGTACTAATGCAGTGTGTCAATTATAGTGGTAGCAGTTTGAAAGTTTTGATATTACATTGGCTTAAAATTTAACTGTAGTGGTACCTATACTAATATACTTATGTCTCGTTTCTCTGCAGCAAGGAGTAAATAATGCTGAGAAATTTGACTATGTAAGTGGAATGTAGAATTCAGTTTTTATGCCACGTTCTTTACAGATTTGTCTTTTGATTACTAATACTTCCTACTTTCGGTTTATAGGTGATGCAGTTTTTGAATAAGATGGCTGGCAATGAATATGTTGGATTCAATAATGCAACGTGAGTCTTATTGGTGACTTTTTATGGGGCAACAGGCCATAGATTAATGGAAAAAAATCTAGATTATAGAATTTTGTTTTTGTTTTTTTGTTGTTGTTGATGTTGTTAGGTGCCATCAAGTTGGTTCTGACTCATGGCAACCCTATACTCTGTGTACAACAGAACCAA